TACCCCCTTCCCCGTCAATGTATAGTGTTGGTCCACAGCGCAAACGTATTAGTTTAACAAAATCCGCATCTAAAGATACATTATTTTCCCCTGTGCAATTCCAGTCTCACATCTCACATCACATCGTCATTAACAAATACCGGAAACAGTCCGAAAACATTTAAAAAAAATAAAATAATACTTTATTCAGAGTGTGCTTGCTTTTCTCTTTGAAAGTTTTAAATGTTTTCGGACTGTTTCCGGTATTTGTTAATGACGATGTGATGNACATGCCCAGAACAAATGACTATATTCTCACTTCTAAAGGGAGTGATTGGAATCGTCTTTTTTCTCAAAAGCCAATGAATCACGCTGTGGAGTTGGATGTAGAAAAGCTTCCGAATAAATTAACTTATAGTGAAAACCACCCGGTTGAATGATGGGGATAGTAGACAAAAATCTTTAGCAAAAATTGAAGGAGCGGATCTAGCCAATCTTAATCTGATATTAGTTGTTGCAGTCAATTGGCCTTGAGAGGGTCCTTGGGATGGGGATGTGGGACGCCCGGCTTAATTTCTCTTCTACTTCTTCTATCCCACTTCCCGTTGTTAAGCTGTAGCCTCCTTTGCCTGATCTGGTTGTTATCTGTTAGTTTTTCTACTTATTTTTTATGTGTATTGTGTTTGTGATCTGTACAATGTGCTATTTTATGCACGTCTCAAATGTGTGTTTTCAAATGTAGGACCGGGGAAAACCTTCTCTTAGCCCTCACACACCCTGGCCGAAAAGCTCAGCACGGACTCCCTTCACATGCACACTTCTTGCTCATGTCATCTTCCATCAAATAGGACCGGGGAAAACACCTCTTCTTGAGCCCCTCCCACAACCCCCGAAGGCGCTCTTTCAGCAACGCTCTCTCACATGCACATCGTCAATGTCAGGCTCCATCATAGTTAGACCGGGGAAACACCTCTCTACCCATCACACACCCCGAAAGGCACGCTTCCAGGCCACGGCTCCTCCACACTGCACACGTCGTCATTCGGTCTCCATCAAAGAGACCGGGGAAATAACACCTTCTCTTAGCACTCCACAGACCACCAAAAAACAATGATAAAGGAGGACTAAGCAGCTCCAGGCACAAAAGGACATCAGGAATCCACCCTATTAACCAACGAGGTACAGCCCCGTAGGGCTCCCTGTTTTACGCGCACCTCCAGGAGCTCTCCAACATCTGAACATCCTCTAAAGGTACAGTGCGGTGCTTCAGAAAAAAACACCGTCCTGCAATATTAAGGAAGTACACACCAGTACACAAACACCCACAGCACGTGTGCAGGCTCAGTCCGTGCGGTGTTCGCCCTCACAGAACATACCTCGAGTCCAGGTTCGCTGTTGGTGCTCATCTGATGTCTGTATGCATGTTATTGTGAGACCGGGGAAAACAACACGTGTGCTCGTATTACGGCCTACCTCAACAGGGGTAATACACGCGGTTAAATTTAGCCTGCCATTGGACGGGATCGAATTCCGGCTCACTGCACGGGTCTCCCGATTTTCGACCAATACACCATATATTTGTTAACAGGGTCTTATCTTTCACCCGTGGGCCTCTTCTTGGCTGTCCTGCCACACTTGTCAAGTCCCATCACAATTAAATTCATGGTTTGAGATCTTACTAACCGGTATCGGAGTAATGTTCGATCTACCTTTTCTCGGCATTCATTTGGTGAAAACAGCGTGTTCACACATGACCCCTGGCAAAGCACTTAATCACTCCAGCCGGCAAGGTACATAATATGTTTATTTTGTTGTTAGCTTTGGGGGGGTCACACTCTTGCTCATGGTCAGGTACCTCACTCCATCACGATAATTAAGACGTAAGGATAGATGGATAGGGACCCACATCCTCCCCTCTTGCTCGCCCCCTCATCCATGCAGCCGATACCTGTTCATGTTGTTTCCTATTCTCGAACAACACGTACTCTCGACATCCATAATCGCCAGGGAGCGACGTTGTGGTCAGGGGGTCCCTGGTCGTGCACAAGCGCGCGCTCACACACGGCCTCCCCACACGCTGTTTCTGGACACACTGCTCCTGAGGCCTCCTTCAGCACTTCATAAAGGGATCGCAAATAGCCTTTCAACTGCATGCAATGTATATCCCATCTGCCTGCGGGAGTTTGACCGCTCTATGCGAAGCACGTATTCATTTTGCGTTGTCGCCTGCCCCTTTAAAGGCGCTCAGTCTTCCATCAAATGTAGGAACCGGGGAAAACAACCCTTCGTTGTGCCCTCACACACCCCCGAAGCAGCTCCAGCACGGCGTCCCATCGACATTGCAAACTCGCTTCAGGCAGCCATCAAATAGACGGGAAAACACTGTGAGCTTGCTCCTCTGCTATTCTCCACATGTGCCGATAACGCGCGACTATCTGGTACACCCGGACGCAACAATCATTTCCCGTATAGACTGTCGAGCTTGATAGGCTTCGTGGCAGCTGATATCTGCCCTCACCTTACTCATCGACTAAAAAAACACCCTACTGCGATCTATCCTGGTTGTTTAAGTTACACCGTATTCCCATTGATTGTCTTAAATTGTGGGGACGCAATGCTTGTATTTTTGCCCGCTTCGATTCAGCGAGACACACACTATATTTCCGCGCCGCAGGCTACGACAAGGCTGGCAGAAGACACTCACCCACTACCCAGAATCCCACGGCTTTATCGTTTATAGGATGGGACTTACACTATCTGCTCTGTTTGACAAACCCCGTGATTAGTTCTCAAGCTCTGTGATTGGTTGACCTCCAACTGCGTTCCATATGAAAAAAAACATTTCGTAAAAGATAAAATCATACTTTATTCAGCAGTGCTTGCTTTACTCTTTGAAAGTCATCACATGAATGCATTGTAATAAATGGTTTGGCTGCATTAAACATATTACACATCTGTCGTAGTTCTTTATTTTTATTTATCTACAGAGATCGGGCTCAGAATAGACCGGAAACTATTCTTTTACCGTTCAGTTTGAATTTCACAATAAAGTTAGTAGTAATATTTTGTTTTGATATTATTGTTTTTTATTAACTACTAGACCGCTGGGTCATGTTAAGACCATCTTTTCTGTGTTGCTGTGGGTTTTTACCATCGCTTTTGTGTTAAAAATATCAAAACAATAACTAAATATATCCGTCGTAAACTAAACCAGAAACAGCAGTATATTTTATTTTGTTAACACTGTAAACTTGACAGCTTTTTAACCCAAACCACCTTCTGGTTAAAGCACGTTATTACACGTTTAGAGTAATGCAATGCAGGTACATTGTGCTACCTGCTTGAAATGGGATGGAACCACGGCAGACTGTCCAAAACTGGATTTGAACGGGTCCACCGCGTCCCCCCCTCCCCCACCCCGTCCCCAGAACTACACATGCTGGCTATTGTGTTTCGCA